CAGACTTAAAAGCATCCTGTAGCTGCAGGAGGGGGCCAGCGGGAAAAAGCGGCAGCATCATATGAGCCATAATCTGAACTCCTTAAAGGGGTGGGGATTATACAGGGGAGTACTATGAGGTTATTCAGGGGATACTAGGAGATCACTTTGGCGCCTCCAATCGGGATATCTGCTGATACTGAACTGTCACTATGCTGCCGGCCTACGCATCAAGCATGTCTTCTTCTTAGTCTCAGACTTGAAGAATCTCAGAAGCTGACCGATGGTGTGGGTGAAGCTACGTAACAAGCACTGGTGGTCAGTGGTAATAGTAATAGATCAATCAATACATTGAATAGTAGTAGGCTCCCGAATAAGCAGCAAAAAACAGCAGAGGGGATTGCTGGAGTGCTTGGCCTGCGCCGCTAGGAGAAGCCGCTTCCGCCACTGAAGAAACAACACACACGCCCACGCTTCGCGGTGAGGCCGATGAGAGGGGACACCGGGACCAGAGCATAAACTCACAAAAGTGCGATGTCATGTAAATTCTCATGGACGTTATGGATACTTCTGGCCTAACTTGCACGGCTCTTCGATTCTACGGGACTTGGCAACATTTATGATTCATATTACGCAACACAGGCAGTATCGACCATGGCTTGTGCGGAGTAAAGCTGAGCAACTCGTGTTTGGCACTGGCGCCCGTGTAGGCTTCCGCATTGTTTTCCTTTTGCAGTTGTGTAGATCGTTGGCTGTCAGGGATCATCTTCACTACAACTTTGCTGCAGTTTTGGAACATTTGTGGTGATGAGCTTGCAAGAATGTGCAGTTCGCTTTTGAGAGGTCGCGCTGATCAATTTTAGGTAGATTCCTGGGCGCCTCAGATCGGACAGGCCCTCACAAAAATCCAGGGCGCACTTGTCATTCCTATTCAAATGCTTTTCATCGAAGGGTCTGTCCAATTTGGGGGTCACCTAGGAATCTACACTACAAGGGGTCTGGTGAACGGAGCGGGGACGGCGCGACGGGGTCCCGCCCCAATCCCGCAATTGTAAGCATTTGGTGGAGACCCCCAATGAGGATTCAAGTGTTTATCGCAGTCTGTAGGAAAGGGAGGGGTGTTGTTTTTACTCCCAGGTCCACAGCATCAGACTTCTTATCATCAGCAGTACTGGCATCATTGCCATGATCAGATATTACTTCTTATAACTTTGATTATCACTGCTATTCATGTGTTCGTTGTCTTATATATATACATTTATATAATATATATATATATATGAGCTATAGTCTAAACTCCTAGTATCCCCCTGAATAACCCCTACAATTTTCATACTCCCCTATGTAATCTCCTCTAGAATCCCCTTTGAGGAGTTTAGACCCTAAACCCAATATAATCCCCTATAGAGCCCCTTCTCAGGAATTTAGACTATAGCTCATATGAGTAGTATTTTATTTGGGGATACTATGGTCCCAATATAGAGTAAGACTATATCCTCCTTTTGGGGTATAGTATTTTATATAAGGGATATTATCTTACTAGGTTCAACCACCAAAAAAACACTACTCATAGGAGATATGACAGGTCTTTCCCACTGCCTGCCTCGCTGCGCCCGCTGCCCGCTGTTGCGGAAGACCCTGAACCGCAAGGGGTCGCCCTTTTTGTAAAACATGAGCTCTATAGCCTAAACTCCTTAAAGAGGGTTATATGGGGGATTATATGGGGGACTACTTTTGGGGATATTAAGGGAATACTAGGAGGTTAGATTATAGCTCATATGGTTATACAGGGAGAATGGAAAAGCAAGCGGGAAACTACTACAGTATATAGGGTCTAGGGTTCAGGGATATATACTCCCCCAAAATAGAATCAAATGGAAAAGGCCATGACAAATGAAATGGCAACTGGTAAGATATAGTGGTTTCTAGCAATCAAGATTCTCAAAAATCCAGGATACCATTTTGGGGATCCCAAGAATAGGGGTTATAGTTGCCTTTTATGGAAAGTAGAAACTTCATAATCGGATGCGTTCTAGTCTTCTTACTTATGGGGACCAGGAAGCATTAAACACCGAAGCATAGGCGCATTTTGGTAGGGCTTCTTATTGTAAGGGAGTTGCGTGCCAATAGTCATAGCCACCTGCAACCTACAAACTCACCCCTGAAATCCCTTCTTCATCCAAGGCCCCAGATCTTGCGGAAGCGACTTGCGAGGCAGTGCCAGGGGATGGGGAGGGGGATGGCCGGATTTGCCCTTTACACCGGTCACCCTGGCTGCAACAACCCTGTGTTCCGTACCGGGGTTTCCTTCTCACTTCTTGGTTGCTATCTTGATTGCACGCAAGCCAGGGAAGCCCATGCGTTTTGTAGCTTCAATGGGTTCAGGGGTTCTCGTTGCATCCCAACACCAGGTGACCAAACCGTCCCCACGGCTGGCAGTGCCAAAGCTAGCTCTGCCTTCGCCGACGCCGCAGGACCAATCTTCCTGTCCAGTAGATCCCCAGAACCCCCAAATAACAGGACGGACCCACTAAACACCTTTGCCTGTGGCGTGGCTTTTCTTCTACTCCCCTGTGAGTGAGTCCTTCTTTAAAGAGGTTCTGTCGGGCCCCTTATAAACCAACCCTATCTTCTTGAAGGGCATTCGCAAGGTGTTTAATAAGCATTTCCAGTATAGGGCCATGCTCCATTAGGCAAATATTTGTTAATTAGGGGGCGGCGCCCCCTTCCTGGGGGCTACTGTAATCAAAGATTGCTTCAAAAGATGGAGATGCGCTTGCAAGAAGAGTCTTGGAGTCAGAACGTCTGTGTCATTTACAAGTGATGCTCGTCCCAACATTTTGTTCTTATGGTTGCACTTTGTACAATACTATTGGGTCCCACGTGCAAAGAAGAGGGAAAGGCAGCTCAGAAATGAAGATACGGTCTGCAACCGCAGCTACCAAGTAGGGTTCAATTACATAGCTCAAGGTCGCGTTGCAGGGAACGAGTGCACTTGTCTGGAGCATTTGGATTCCCACTGTCTTTGGAATTTCTTTCATGTCACATGGCCCGTGGTGTTGTGCGTTCAACTGAGGTTAGCACTGAGCTACCACTGCTAAATGTCACTGCTTTGGTGGGAGTTCAAGATCGAAGATTGACCCATTGCCTTTTTGAGAGCGCACTAACCAGTCAGGGTTAGGCCTTGGGGATTTGACAGCTTTGGGAAAAAGGACTTTCAAGCAAGAGCAGCCAAACCTCAATCTCAAGGCTGGACGATGCAGATGAGAATGGAAAATAAAATGGAAACTATTACTTAGGGTTTTACCCAATGACTCCCACAGGATTTAGGTGTAGGGTTTAGGGTTCCTGGGCCCTAAAAGTCTGCTCGATTCCCAAATCCTCAAAAGGACATCGGGCACTCCCGCAGCAAGTGCCGCACAAAGCGCAGCGCGTCCCTTTCACGGCCGGGCGTTCGGGGCGTGGAGGTAATGCAGCAGACCTAAACATAAGTGACATTCAGCTATGCCCTCCATAGTTCCTGTTGACCTCCCTTCGTTCAAATGTAATACACGTAGTACCAGAAGAGGTTATTCCAAGTAAGTATTCACGTGTGATAGCTATGCTCCAGGGGGCCCGGCTGCCGGCCCGGCTTGCAGCAACCGCAAAACCACTCCAGACCGGAACTTGGTGGTGGGTAGACCGCCCCATCAGGATTGATGGGGCTGTCCCCGTGTAGAGAGGGGTTTTCTGGGCCTTGACCTTATGGCACTTCAGAGAAACTCGCAATTCATTCAGAGGCCCCAAGCAGAACCAGTTTGTTGGGCCGGAAGCCACAGTTAGATGTCCTACTACTACTGTGGTTCCTGATTGTGAGGCAGAGAACTCTGATACACATCCATGCCAAAAGCCAATTTTGAGTGAAGATGCCAGAAAACAGAAATCGCTGCCCCAAAGCTGCAGTCCAAGTCTCCCCTCCCCTGCCCTTGGCAGCCCGAATCCATGTCCAAAGCCATGAAATCGCCCCTTTCGTTCTTGTCCACTGCAGCTAGGCAACAAGGGAGGACCAAATAGAACAGACAATTGGAAATTAAACGGAACCTGGGGTGAAATAGACCGTCCTCAGTCTTAGAACTACCCCTCAAGCCGAAGCCTACAACACCGGGCAGGCTGCTACGCAGAGCAGAACCTTCGTCGCCCGGGCCAACTTGCATGCTGGTCCGCTTCTTCGAGGTCATGCAGTTCCCCTCTCCCAAACAAATCATAACTCTCAACGGGGCTATTATAAGGGCACCAATTATTGTACTTAGAAAGATCGGCTCTATGGGGTTCCATGTTTGGTTGGGGGACCCGACCACATAGATGCCAGGTGCATGTACGTAGACGTATATAGACGCCCAGCGTTATTTACAATTATGATTTGCAAGGGACTTGACATCATTTGTTATGATTATAACTTAGCCTTTTCCTTACCTGACGTAGAAAATCATGTCCCTGCTGAAGTCAAGGAGCTTGCGGGTTGCAGGGTGCAAGATTTCGAGTCGAGATTTGAAGTCAGGCATGTAAGGCAGAAGATGCAAGTGAGAAGTAAGGAGTTTTCCACATTGTTGGTGAATACTGATAGCTGAAATGCTTCAAGGATTTTGAGAGTTTCCAAAATTGGCCACTCCTTCATGTTGCTAGGCCGACCGCCCAAAACAGGAGATCCCCCCCGCTTCGGCATACGTTTGTGGTCCCTCATTTCTGACAGCTGTGATTCAGGACACGATGTATGGATTCTCAGCCAAGTCAGATAGGGCTCAGACCCCTTGATTAGAAGCTGGGACTAGATGGCAGCTACCTGCGTAGACCGTTAACAGCAACCCAGGAAGTGGCATGACGTAGGCCCAGTGGCCGTTGAACATGTTGTTGCTCAACACCCCTGTGCCATAAATTGCAAAAACAGACTCCTCTTGCCTAACCATCAAACCCCCACCCTCCTGACAGTTGCCAACCTAGTGCCATCTTTGAAGGGGAGTGGCTATTCCCTGGCATGGATCCAGGAGCCTGCTCCCGAAGTGCGATCGCTTCTCGATGCCCACTGGGCTGCAGAAGAGGGGGGTGGGAGTTCACAGTTTACCGCTTGAGCCCAGTATATAGTTTAAGAGCAAGGATACCTTACATTGTATGATTTAAGGTATATTCCTGAGTAAGGGGTTTCGGCCTCCCTGTGGAACCGACTGAGCAGTAGCATAAGCAGATATACTACAGTGCGAGTATAGGGTAAGACTATTCTCCCTTGGTGGTTGTATTTCTTAGTATGTGTTGGAGGAGCGTTATTTTACTTGTTTCATTGTTTCAGAACCACAGGCATCAAAACTACACGTGCATGGAATTTGAGATCCTGAGGTCTTCATGTATCCTTGCAAGGACCCCCTCCCAACCGATGAGGGACGCAAATGGGGATCGATTGATGCTTTCAGTTTCACAGCTTTTGCATTCCTCCTTGTTGGGATGTGGGGGAATTTATCTCATTAAGAGTGGAAAGTTAGGGTCCAGGTTTAACATCCTTACAGTCTTGAGGTCGCTTGAGTGGTGAAAGATTGTGATCCTGACTGGGCCGCGCCCCAGGCTCATATCAAAACCTTCTGGGAGTTCCTATGATAAGAGCAAACCCCAAATCCCAGAACTCTCAGCTTCACGCACCCTCATTCGTTCAGACCAACATTCACAACCCCAGAGCCATAGAACCGTACACCAAGCCGTGATCCGCAGGACAGCATCGTCTCTCCCCAGCCCTCGCCCCGCGACACGCCGCTTCTCAAAAAGATACACTTTGTTTTAGAGGATGTTGGGACAAACTATTGGCTCCTTTGCGCAACTTGCTCCTGGTAACAAGATGTACAGTGCTGGCAGGGGTCCAGAGACTGCGCATGCAGATGTTTGCAGTAATTAAGATGCAATAGAGTCCATGTTGCATCGCTCAGTGTCTATTTGTCTTATATGTTCGGCCACCAAGAGGCATTTCTGAGTTTGGACACACCTGCCCGCCTGGAAATGCAAGGTATTTTGAGCATATACGAATGTAGGTTTTGCATACTCCCAACGAAAGTCCCTTGATACAGGAACATACACATACTTTTTACCAAGCCCCAGTCGTACGCATTTCACAGGGCCCGGCAGTCACGAATAATCACCCCTCAAATTCCTTTAACCCTCTGACTGTACAAGGGCCCTAATGAGCCTAACGGGCCCTGTATGTGCATGGATCCTACGAAGACTTATTTGCCGTCTCTTAGGGATTTGCGTGGGCAATTTCCACAGCCTCTAAAGACTTTTGGAAGCACCCCTAGTAGGGACCCTTGTAGCTTATGGGGNNAGGGGTTATATAATGACTATATAAGGGTCATATATGATAATAGGATCTGCCACTCAGATTCTCGTTCTACTACGATGATCTGAAGCCCAGCTCGAGCGAGGACTGCTACGTAATTAGGATTTAGGGCTCAAGGCTTTTAGGGTTTAGGGTTTAGGGTTCAGGGCTTTTAGGGCTTAAGCAATGCTAGCCTGACAATAATACACCCTCCCCCAAAGAACTTGTTTTGCCTTTTTTGGTCTATAGAGATGGGGGTTCAGAAAAGGAGTCAGGGGATGGGAGGTAGAACTAGGTATTGATTATGGCTTATGGACCTTGTTTATAGGTTTTTGGGCTCCGAACTTTCAGGGGAATGTGATGGGAACCCCAAACAGGGAACGCCAAGAATATAGTAGGAATATAATAGGAACATACCTACCAGGGTCCTTATATTCTATTATATTCCTGCTATATTCTTGGGGTTCCCTGTTTGAGGTTCCCACTGAGGTCCCTTTAAACTTGCTACTTGCTACGTAGCAAACGTAGTCTTTCGGGGTTTATCTGGCCCTGTGACGATACATTAGTACCACCCCCTTTACTTCTGGTAAGTTCACATTAGGTTCTGAATAACAGAACCAGCCGTGACAAAGTGTGTTGTCGCTGGCGGGTAGCTAGGGAGTGCGTAGCACGGTCGCGGCCATCGCGCCTTCTCAACAAGAATTCGCCACGAGGACGGTTGCCAGGGAAGTATCCATTATACTATGGTAGTTTCCATCTTCTTTTCCATTGTTCCCTATATTAGCCCAATATAACCCCAATATGAGTCAGGTACGACCTTGGGATAACATGGTACATGGCAAGCCTCTCTGAATGCGCCAAAAAGCCTGTTGAGTGTTTGGATCCTTGGAGCCCGCAACTCCTCAAGCTTCCAATGATAGACTTCTGGAAGCCCAAGATGGAAGAACCCTAAAAACGTAGGCCCTAAAAACATGAAACTGAACCCTAAACCAGTATAACTGTCACGAATCTCTACACCCCTAAAGCTTCCAGCGGCTGTGCTTCGTCAGGAGGAGACCCCGACGGGCTCCGCACCAGACTCTTTCTGTGTAGCTCGGCCTTGGAAGTATAGGAGGCCCATACCCTCAATATAGCGCTATTATATAGAAGGGTTTCCCAAAATTGGGGCCTTTTTTGGGGTCCCTGTAGAAAGGACTATAGTTAGGGATCTATATTGGGGTCCGCCTATTTCTGGAAACTACCAAAGTGGTAGGAACGTTTATTGGTATACCAGGCGCAAGGGGGGAAGTGTAAGGGTCCTCAAGACAGAGGTGTGGCTTCTCGAATCAAAAGCCACATGTGGAGCGCATTTTTTATCTGACTAGCAGGAACAAGTCGGTTTAGGCTTCAGGCTCCCAGAACTCTGAAGCATAGGCAGTACATCTTGAGTCCAGGGCACAAATGTCTGTTGAGATTCCCTAAACCCCGACCTCCGATTCTGAGACCCCTGGAAGAACGCCAGGGGCTCAAGCTGCAGAGGTTGTTTTGGCTGTTGCTATGCAGTTGCTTGCAGCATGCGATTTATTATCTCCTGCCACCTGCCCAGACGCCTTGCAGAAGTTCTATGTCTTGCTGTTCCAGTTAGTGTTAGAAATATGTTACGGTTGAAGGGCCTTCATCTTGCCACCTACATGAGAACAGCGCCAAAAACAGGACCTCCAGCTTGGGAAGTAACGAATATACTCAAGAAAAAGTCGCTGCCTCAGCTTGTGGTTCTCTCAGATGGTCTACAACGGGGAGAGCGGCGATGGTACTGCATCTGTTCGGCAGGAGCCCAAGACCAGCAGAACCCGGAGCTGCTTGAAAGTCTTGGGAAATTGATGGGAACGATGGAAAAGAAAATGGAAACTACTATCATGAGGTTATATAGGGTATAGAATATGGGGTATATGGGGATCTTGGTATAATAAGTTGAGGGGAGAAGGGACTTCAGCAAGATTTGAACTCAAGCTGAGGCATCAGGAGTTCAAAGCCTTGAGGGAGCATGGAAACTGTTTGTGGTCAGGCGGTACATCTAGCCAAAGCGGAGTTTGCAATGTTTTTGAGCTCCAGCTTTGGTAGAAGGCTTCTCCTGAAGACGTCAGAGGGATTTCCGGGTTGTTGGCCTGGTGACTTAACACAGTTCCAATGTCCAAGCCTTCGCGAATCGTTTTTTTCAGGACACTCGGCGTGTCGCTGTGTAGGCTTTAGAGGGCTTATGTAAGGAGACCCAGGCACTCGTCAATTCTGCTGTGCCCAGAGCCGCTGTGCCCTGCCTCCATTGATTGCTGGGAGCCTTGCAGGTCCTCATTCCCAGCGCGTGCAGAAATTTGTTCAGATTCGACCCCATTTCTTATTTGGTCGCTGAAGCCGCTTCAGAATTTGCCGGGCATTAGGGCGGAGGAAAAAGCAGCACAACGCTTCATTGACCATGGTGAAGTGGTCAAAGTTGACAGTTGAAGCGCTGGAAGAGCAGCTGTGTTGTGAAGTGACAGCCATTGAAGTCCTCGAAGTGGTAATGTGGTTGATGCTGGTGATGGGACCTGTTCCGGAGACATTGAACATGCAGTTGGCAGTCCTCGGCTTCCACTGTCTCAAAATTCGCAGTCCCTCCCGGAGGAATGCCGTTCAGAGGTATGCGGCGCTGTCAACACTAGGCTTCACACACACGCAAGGACAGACGTAGGTTACCGTTTCTACAAGGCCCCCATCCAAAGACCCTCCTCCTCATTCACGAAGCGTACCACGCAACGCTGCACCCGTCTTCCTCAGGTCGTGGTTTGAAAGCGTATCCGACATGGACCGCTTGTCTGGCTGGGGGTTTGAGGAAAAACGGTGTTTAGGTTCAACGCCATGAAGAAGTTCATGCCTATGCTCTACGTGGTTTCGCGCCACCATGAAGGAAGTGTAAGTTCTGTTAAGATCTGCTACAGTCGCCTAGATCTATAGGCATGGTACAGGTTTGACATAGGCATACATGATTAGCATCATTGCCCTGCCCGGGCCCAAGTTAAAAGTTAAGCCAGTTTTGTTGCTTGCCCAACGGGCAGGGACAGCAGTGCTTGTTCATGAGCAAAATAGTGGTTGTTCTCAGGGGATTGTGGGCCTCCAACCATACCCGTCGTCATATTTCCAACCCTTTCCCTCATGCGGTGTCCTAAGGATCTGGTAGTTTCCCAACATAAATTAGGGGTGCCTTTTCTAGAATTACCGATAATAAGGATTATAGTCTAGTAGGCCAGTGGGCTCTACATTCGGGTCCCCCTATTTTGGGAGACTATCATATGTGTAATGTAGCGGGGGAGGTAAAATCCAGAACCGCTGTGAAGTTCACAGAGCCCACAACCGCGTTCATCACACGCACACATGCGCAGAGATCTGTATATGTGCATGCACAAGTACAAGTACACACGGGTCATGTTGTTTCTGTAGACATGTACATGCAGATCTGTAGCGGAGCTCCACGCATTTGATTGCAGCCGCTACTATTTTTTGGCCTATGCCAAAATAGTTCACCAAAATCGTGAGCCTGCAAACCCAGAGATCTTGGTAGTATAGTTTGAAAGTGTGAGAGCAGGAGAGCCGCAGTCCTAACCCAAAAGCCTAACTTGACTTTGATTAAATTCCAATCCTAGATCTTGAGAAGCTGTTGCTTGGTAGGATGCAATGCATGCATGCACCGTTGTCCCACGGTGCCTATGCCAAAGTTGAACAGAACCTAGGGTCGAACCGACAGCCTAAACGGGTTGAAGTCTCAGATCAATTAAACAGAGGCTCTAAGCTCGACTGAAGCGATAAGTCCCTTGCATGTTGCCAGGGCCAGCAGGGCCGCGCTTGTGCCAGCCAACACAAAGTTAGGCCCTAGGCTGAGCCCAGACCCTGAACCTGAGGCCTCAAAACTGAAATCGTGCCTTGTTTTCCTTGGACGCATGGGTTCGAAGGACGCAAAGGGACCTTTTCTTGTGCAAGCCGAAAAGACTTTTGGTATCAAGACTAAGCGTCGCGCTTTCCTTTGCCAGTGTCCTGGCGCCAGGAGACACCGTGCCACAGCCTCCAAGCCTTCTTATCTCCTAGGTCGCCCTGCTCATCACCAAGGCAGGTAAGCTTCGCTTCTCATGCTTGGAGGTTCATGGTTTAGGAGTTTGAGGAGCTTCAAAAACGGACCTGTACAGAAACTCCCGCAAGGGGACAAGAGTCACTTAAGAGGGCTTCCTTCCCTGCCCATCTTGTAACAAGACATTCCTGCCGGAATCCCAAACCCAAGTCGTCGATCATGAGATGACACTAGACCTCAAGTTCAGGTCTTCTCCACATTTTCTTATGTGTGCTCAGATGGTAGCTCAACACGCGCATTCATGTTGCAGAAGCCTGAAGAGCAGCACATGAATCCGGGCCCTTGATGAACAAGTCAAATTCTAAAGGCTTCTTGGGTCAGATCTGAAGCGCAAGAGAACATGGAAGGGCAGGATGTACTTCGCAGCCAGCGCCAACAACCCCAGCATACAACATAATTGTCTAATCCCCGTCTTCTTTGTATCAGTAATACCTCATGAAAAGGTGTAAAAAGCTTGAAAGGTTGGGGAGACCCAAGAACTTTGCTGCCGTTCAAGAATCAGTAAGAGAGCTGATTCTGATACCTGCTTGGCAGACGACACTTCATTAGGAGTTCAAGGTTTGAACATTGATAAGATGACCCCAAATTTCGCACATGCCCATATGATAAGGTTACGTGGTTTTTGAAGGTTTGGCGTCACAGCCCAGAAGCTGATTAATTGACTTTTGGAGAGTATCTTCCCGGTCTGCAAGTGTGCAAAGATCGGTCTTCAGCAGCCTAGGAAAAAGGTGCCTCAATGACAGCTGTTCGTAGGGTATCTTGACACCTAGTGGTTGGTACAACTCTGCAACTCTTGAAAAATCATCGCGAGAGGTGCGGGGCCCGTGGCTCCTGCTGCAGCCGCGAGTCTACCGCTCTTTCGACAGACCAGGCGCAGACAGAGAGACATTTCGAAGCTGAACCATATGGCAACCCCAAACCCAAAGCTTTGTTTCGGCAACCCTTAGCCCTATCTCAACTTGAAACCCTATATAAGCCCTATACCACTGGAGGAGGAAATCTCGCAGAAGGCATGGCTGGGCGCTCAGCTGCGGATCTCAGTAGCATCTGGTGTGGGCCGTAGTGCCCGACTCCTCCAATAAGGCAGATCCAAAAGGGAACGTATTAATTTCAAGCAAAAGCATCCTTTCTGCACTCGACGAGGAACCTCATCGATTTCAAAAGGAACATCCTCCTGAACTTACATCTTTTTTCAACATCCTAAATCACAAACCTTGATCCCTAAATCCGGACCCTCATCCCACAACCCTGATCATTCCTTAGATCATCTAAGATCTCAATCCCTCACTCCCGCATCCTGATCCTCAAGCTGTCTGTTTTTGGGCTCTCGAGGCAGCTCTCGAAGAGAGTTTGACACAGCGGGCCAAAGTGCTCGAGGCACATTTTTCATGTAGGATCCTCCGTGGATGTTATGAGGATGCTACAAGGACACTTCCTTCTACAGCAAAAAATGAGGAGCCTACAGGGGAGGATACAGGTAGAGGGAGAAGAGATTCAGGAGTCAGAGTTTAGGATGAACGATCTGCAGCATCAGCGCCCTTCGCGCAGAGCTGTAGCAGATGAATCAACATAAGTGGAATATCTTTGTCAGAGCATCGTGCGGCATCTTCACATTTCCAGGCAGAAAGAGTCCCTGAGTCCGACGAGATAGCCACTGTATTTCTGTAAGTCCTGTAGGTTCCAGTCCGCATTGTGGGCACGGGGCTCTGCGCTAATCACCGCTAATCCTTAGATCTTGGGACCCACTCAGCTGATTCACCTCAACTTCAGTCATTGCTGAGCCTCTAGCAACAGATGCAGCCCCACGCCAAGCGTGCCATGCGATGCCTTTTGGGCCAGTCTTCCCGATGCCATGCTCCTTTACAATAATCGGAGGCTACTGCGACTCGTACTGCAAAGGGAGGGCAGCGTGTTCTTCCGGCTGGAGACCATCCTAGCAGGGCTCCTCTTGGCAGTGATTGGTGCCTTGGTCCAGTACTCCCGCGACAGCGGCTGGGAGTACGCGCCAGACTTGCAACACCACTATGGCTTCCAGGACATATTTTTGGGGAAAGAAAGTGTACCCTTAGACAATGGCATTGCGGTATGATCTAGTAGGCTTGTATTCCCTATAAAAAGGGCCCCTGAGAAGTGAGAAGACAACGCCCTCCAGGCAGTGGGGGTTGGAGTAACCTTCGCCCTCGTCTTCCGCACTCAGCTGGCATGGGGAAGGTTCTGGGAGGCCACGACCCACCTTCACATGATGTACAGCAAGCAGCTTGGTGTGGACTGGAAGCTCATTTCTTTGTTGGCAGTCATCTTCCATCGCCTCAAGCCAGATGCTATCTTGGAGGTTTCTGAGGATGACCCCCTTGCTTGGTAGATTACCTTTGCTATCGACCCTTACATGCAGGATGTAAGTAGTGGGTGACGTGCTCAAAGTAAATTGACCTTTGGTTAGCTAGCAATGAAGGACAGGATCCTTATGGTAGTCCCTGTATAACCCATTATAGCAATTTCCATTTTCCTTTCCATTCCTTCATTCCCAGCGAACCAAAGGCAACTGAAACCCTATACACCCCTATATAACCCCTATATAATCCCCCTATTTAACCCTTATGGCTAACCAAAAGGCAACTGAAACCCTATACACCCCTATGCAACCCCCTATATAACCCGTATATAACCCCTATATAACCCTCCAAATAACCCTATACCCCTATATAACCCCCTATGTAACCCCCTAAATAACCCTTATATAGGCACCGTCATCTCAGGTGGATGGACGCTTTCGTGCAGTTTCAGGCCGAGTCTTTCAACAGAGTCAAGGTGAAGGGGCTTATAGGGGTTAAGTTTGGGGTTTAGGGTGTAGGGTTTAGGGTTATAAAGGGGATGATGGAAAAGAAAATGGAAACGACTCTTGTATAATGGGGTATATATAGGGGTTATATTGGGGTAATGGAAAAGAAAATGGAAACTACTGTATTATAATAGTGTATATATTGGGGTTAGGTTGGGGTAATGGAAAAGAAAATGGAAACTACTGTTTAGGGTTGAGGGTCTCTGGGAACTCCATGTAGGAGGCTTTGGGTTTTTAGGCATCTGTCAGGAAGCATGTCTGTGGATAAACTAAGTAGCAAGTCAATTTGTTTATGGGAGGGGGTGTCCTTGGAGTTCCTTGTGCAAGCATCTTAGATGTGTCTCACTGACAAGTGGGGTCACCCTAGATGCTCTAGAAGAGGGGTGCTGGATCTACCGCCATGCCAACAGTTTGAGAGACCACCGTCATGAGACCTTCTGGAGTATTTCCATTGAGACCCGAGACACGCCAACAAGAATTGCGGATCCTTGTTACACGGATCCCCAGAAAGAGGTAAGAATTTGGAGCCTAAACCCTAAACCCTAAATCCCTAAACCCTAAGTCCCTAAACCCTAAATCCCTAAACCCTAAATCCCTAAACCCACAGTCCTCTGGTGAAAGGCCTTTGCGGAGGTCACCGCCAAGGCTGCCTTCGAGGACCTAGATCTGCCTCAAGGGGACCCCTCATGATCGCCAACCCCCAACATAGTACCATGTTGTATCATATCAGCTATAGTTACGGGGATCTTTTCTTGTTGGGGGTTGGGGGTGTTTGTTATCAGATGGGGGGGATCAGCAAAATCGAGCCAAGCCTAACAATGATTGTTCCTATTCTGGTATACTATAGCAGATTCGGAATGTTTATCATTGGGGGGTGGGGGTTTTCTAGTTGGGTGGAGGGCTTGATCTGCTTGTGGTCCCTATTTGTAGGCCTCCTTCTCAGACCCCCCAGCTTTGGGAATCTAACGTCAAGATTCTCGTTAAAGGTAGAGAGGGACCTACAGGGGCTCCAATCTTGGCATTCATACACTGGCGCATTGATTAGATTGCTGGACAGTGGGCATGGGGGTTCATGATGCTGAATCTGCGTGGGGAACCTGAACAAAGCATGAAATACTAATACTAATAGCAAAACAATAAAGATGAACCATCATAGAAATAACTGAAGTATTCAGAATTCTACTGTTATTAATAATATCAATAATGCTGTGGACAACTGCTCAGGCTCCTGATAGTGTCCCCAGGTAAGATACTGCTCTTCAGTTGAGCCTTCCTTCCCCAGTCCTGTTCAGCCCAAGTAAGCGTGGGAGAGTGAAACAGCTGCATGGAGGAGGGAGATCGCACGCGGGCGGACTTTCTGTGGCACAAACAGCTCCTCGAATTGAGGATTTAATGGAAGCTACTATAGTCTATTGGGGTTATCTTGGGATAGTGCTAAAGAAAATGGAAACTACTATAATGGATTATACAGGGACTACAAAAGAGTTTAGGGGTGTGAAGGGTTGACATTGATGACTGAGAACCTGTTAAGTGTATCAGGATGTGGTGCTAGTGCGTATCGGCCAGATGCAATTTAGGCATCTTATGCGCAGTTGCCTCCTACCAGGTCCGGAAGTTTTTCTGTGGGTTGGGTAGGGTGAGAATGCCGCGCGGCCGGTGGTGCTAGGCGTTCAGAAAGAACTTGGTCATAGCTGCTCTAATGACCAATGTGCATATTCATGTAGACCCCTTTTTCATAAACTCCCTCCCCTTCATAGGGATTATCATAGGGATCCTAATATTTAGGCCCTTAAAAGGAGGGGGTTGATTAATTCGGAGTCTACATTAACAAGTGAGGGCACGATGCGTAAGATTGTGATCCCAGCAATCATTGAAGTCTCGGGCCTTCTTTGTTTTAAACTCGCCGTCACGGGTTGCAGGAGGCCTTTCAACATCACTATTGAATCAGTATTTCTGATATTAAAAAGATCCTGCATCGGGTTGGAATGGCAGCCGTATGCCAAACACCATTGTAACCAATAATTCCCAATGTATAAGATGCACAAGGCACTTGGGGTCATGCAGGATTATGAGTATGAAAGCATCACAGGTTGAGTTTCGAGTGCCAGGCATCACGAATGCTCGCACTCGACATTTCTTGACGGCACCCATGCTGTGAGAGAACTCTGCAACCCTGCGCCGGAAGTCCACCATCTTGTTTTATCCGCCCGATGGAAACGGAGATTTAAGGGTGACCCAGAGACCGCCCACATCCCACAGCCCTAGATAAACCCAAATTCCCTTGCGAGACAGCGTGATCCTCATGCGCTTGATCATTCTAAGGCTGCGGATGAAGTGGAACTTTGCGTTGCTGAGTGCCGTTGCAGCCGAGAGGCTGTACCGGGGAGACAACGAGCGGATGAAGGAAAGCCGACCCTTAAGAGTCCAGTGTTTAATGCTTTTCATTGCAGGGTTTAGATTTTAGGGTTTGGGGTTCCGGGTTCGGGACTTAGGGTTTCACAGGCTTAGGTGCGAGGATTTTGGCTCGGACTCCGCTATTCACCTGCAAAAAGGGTTGAACATGGTGCAGGATATCTTGCTCGAGGTAGCGTACTTGAGCTACCGGGCCTCGTGGAAGTTAGAGTCATTTTTAAACTCAGGGTTGCTTGAACCCTTTGGGAATGAAAACAGATTTATGGCTTAGGGTTTAGGGATCTTGGACCCAACTGAAACAGGGGCTTCTAGACAAAACCACTCCATAATTTTCAGAATCTCCATGTGAAGACGTGCGCAATGTTTTTATGCTACGGAAGCTCGAGGCATCATCTTTCAAAAGCAGTCAGAAGAGTTGGCTCCCACATTTTAGTCCCCCGTTTAGATGATAGGAGTCAGTCGGTCAAACCAGCTGGACCCCTCATGTTTGGCTGACAGCCATTCAGGGCTCAGGGTTTAGGGTAGATCCCATGTTACCCCAGGAATGGAGAACCAAGTGGAAAAGAACATGGAACATGAAGTGGGAACTTTGCTTTATACACTGTTCAAGATTAGTGTTTGCCTGAGTGCCTCAGGACACTGACGCAATTTTTTTGAGGGGGGGAAGTATGTCTCGAGAAATCCACAGGAGGGTGGCGTGTCACCAAATGCTGGGCTGCGAAGAGTACCATCGATCTTCAGGGTGGATAAGCTGGCATTTGATTAGCTAGGAATGAAAAAATGGATCCAAAAAGTAGTCCCTGTATAACCCATCATAGTATTTTTTTTCTTTTCCACTACCCCAATATACTATAGTCGTTTCCATTTTCTCTTTCATTATCCCAGTATAATCCAGTAAGGGGGGCCACTGCCTGAGAAGAAGCCAGCTTGCTGCCTCCCAGGAGGATGGGTCCGAGCGTATACGGACGCGCACTGACCTGAGGATCGAGGCCCAAGACTCAGCTGCATAGAATGGACGTTTCCAACAGTTTGCGGTTCTTGTGTGGGTGTCCCCATAGCTCAGATTGCAATGTAATTCTCGTCTACATTAGGGCACCCCATTTATGGAAAACCTCAAATGCGTTAAAGTAATATAGGGCGTCTCACGTGAGACATGGTGGATATGGGCCAATTACTCATCCGGCATTGGGTTTATTTTGCTGAGGATTCCTTTACCTAGCTGAATAGAACCTGCAGCCTGGTTGCGCTCGGCATGTACCTCAGAAGAACCCTCTAAAGTCAACCGACTGGAAGGAGGGCCCATGAGCACTGTAGCCCCGCAACGAGAACAATATTAAAAGGCTACACGCAACAGAGAAAATTGTATGGTACCAAGAACTCCTACAACCCTAAACCCTAAACCTCCGACTCCCGTGCCATGAGATTTCAACTAATGAGCTTGGATTTTTGGACCCGCATATTGCACAGTACAGGATCCTAATCAATCACCTCCCCTGTTAATAAACCCTGCTACACGCCGAATAGTTTACAGTCCATTTAACATATGAGCTATAGTCTAAACTCCTAGTATCCCCCTTAATAACCCCTATAGTAGTCCCCTATATAATCCCTTATATAACCCCCCTTAAGGAGTTTAGACTACGGCTCCTATGTTCAGGATCTATGGGGGTGGTGCATTCGGAGTATTTACCATCAGGAGGTAGTCGGGCCGGAGCCTCAGTCGCGGGTTTAAGAATCAGATCAAGCATATCTGTGGTCTTGTAGGGTTTAGGGTTTAGGGCCATTCTGCCTTTAAAGGGACCCCTAATGTACTATAGTAGTTTCCATGTTATTTTCCATTATCCCTTTACATAGCCCCTATGTTACCCGTATACTCGGCTGAGGGGTGGTTGAACTATTCAGCGGTCGGAACCCTGAAGGCTAGACTAGAAAACTCCACCCCAAACCCTGAGCCAGATAAACTCACGTCTACGCCCTGAAGCTCAATCTTAAGCTCTTACACCGTAGTGGTTTAAGCCTGCAGCAACAAGCAGCTGCAGGGAGAGTGCTTCAGCTCTTGCTTGCCCAAGTTCGTGGAAAGGACTGCGGGGTTGTGAGGTTTAGGCTTTGGAGACTGCCCCCCCCACCCAGCAACAGTTGGATAAGAGTATTTATATGCAGCCATTAGTGTAGACTGTTACTCGGTGGGGGTAGTAGCCATGGTTTAGGCTTTGGGGTTCGGGGTTGGGCCTACTGCGAAAAGCGTTTGGGGCCAAAAGAGTTTGGTAAGCAAAACGTCAGGTAGAATAATGGAGAATCAGATCGGAGTATGGAAAATTAAACAGAAACTGTGGTTTCCATAAGGGTTGTAGGGTTCAAGCGATTAGGATAACAAAGAATCAAATAGAACAGACGACGGCAAATGACATGGAAACTGGGCATATGCATTTGTTTAGGGTTTCAGGCTAGGTGAGGAAAAGCTCAAGCGATAGTCAGGTAATATCCTATAGTTTGGTTCCCCTGATAGATAACATGAGCGTTTCGTAATCTGACCTCGTTTTGGGGGTGGAGGGGTTTTGGAAGGTTTGGGGTGTAGGTACCCTAAACCCTTGGGTTCAGGGATTTTGGTTTCGGAGATCAGGCTTCAGGGTTTGCGTCTGGTTCAGAGTCGTACTGGGTATTGATTCGATAAGACTTTAATCCCTTAATCCCTTTATACGAATGTCCCCATACATGTATATGTATATGTATATATATTTGTATTTCGGGTCTCCTACGGAGAAGGCTTCACATTCGGGGTGAGGGGTGTCCTATATTAGTATGAAGGGATTAAGTTGCGCTCCTCTTAGGCTCCCGGACCTGCCAAGGAATTCACCCAGATGTTCTATTCCAAAGGAGTATAGTCTAGGAGGACCCCCGCCCAGTAATAGTGACTATAAGGGATACTGGTGATTATACATTAATCTTCTTCTATTCCTGTTATACCACTTTTAATTACAGGGTGAGGGGTCCACGTAAAGTATGGTGCAATCTACACTCCAACAATTCTTGGGGGTCTTTTGATCGCAGCTGAGAATTCTGTTTGCAGTTTCTCTGCAAGGTAAGATTCTCCCGAGGCCGTGGTAACTCATGGAGTAGCATTGAAAGCATGTGCAAGTTCTGCAAATTACGTGGCTCTGAGACTTTCACACTCTTTTACACCTATTCTTCTTGTCTTGGGATCCTCTATGCTTTGCTTAGTCTGAGCATTTTGATGCAGGGACTCGGCCCTGCATCAACCCCATTCAAGGGCATGCGACCGTGTGAAGCCCTTTCTTACCTTGGAGCAACTAAGCTCGCCATGATTATTTGATAGTTCCACTTTGTGAGCAGAGGTGCTAGCAACTAGATTTGTCGGGTGCTTTTCATCACCTTGCGCAGGAGACATTTCAAGCGTGACAGCATGCAGGAGGTGTACCTGGGAGACTTTGGTTTTCAGATTGTGTGTTGAACTCTTTTCGTAAAGGCATGTGGTGAGCATCATCTGAAGATCCTCGAATTCCCACCGGGCTCGGCAGCTGCAGAGGAAGGGAGTTTTCAAGGGGTTAATAGGGTTATATTGGGGTTATAATGGAGAATCAAATGGACAAGAAAATGGAAAATGAAATGGAAACTGGGATTATGTAGGGGATTATATAGGCTTATATTGGTTTAGGGTTCACGGTTTAGGCAAGTTTGCTCCACCCACAGCCCCAAGTTGTGCTTCAAGCCTTATCAACCAGGCTGAAAACATGACTTCTGCCCAGAACTTGCATTTCTTTAGCATTGCGACATCCCCCCAAAATTGCCTAAAGAACCGGAAGCAAAGAGATTTTTCAGCCTTTTTCTCACAACTTGTGCACCCACTTGAGGAGAAGTATGCAGGAACCACTTCTGCATGCTCATGTTACATCAAGTTCCCTTGAAACAGCTCATTACTACCCCTCCTAGGTACCCTGTCTTTGAGCTGCCGTCCAAGGAGTCGCTGTTTGTGCTGCTTCTTTGGGTTTAGAGTTTAGGGTTGTTGGGGGGGGGGGGGCACTTTCATTGCTTTCGGTCGTTCGGAGTTTGAGGGGTTCCCGCGTTTGTATGCGGAGCGCTGGATTATCCAGTAGGACATAGTAGGACCCAAAGATTCAAGGCCCATGCTGGGCCCAATAAACCGCGGTTTAGGGTATAAGGGTTTAGGGTTTAGGGCTTGGTGCGCCCAACCCCTAAGTCGGGCATCGGATTTCCAGCAATTCCGAGGGTCAGGCATCTAGCAGGCTTGGGGTTTGACGAACGTTACTGTCGCAGCCACTTTGCTGAAAAGGCCGTCTACCATCAGACTGAATCAGACATTGATTGGGCCAAGCAGGAATCTTTTTTGTAGATTTGTCAGGCTGAAGTGGCCGAATCTCGGGAGTGTCACTTCCTGTGCCTTCGTGAGCAGGGTTTCGGAGCATAGTTAGTGCCAGGCCCAATGGAATATTGTAGAGGCCCGCCATTTAGGTTTCGGCCTTTGAGCATCTGCCAGGACCAGCAAAACTTGCTGCTACAATCATACGACCATGTCGCCACGGCCGCCTGGATACTTACATGAGGATAAGCGGCTAAAGTTGAAGATTGAGTATAAATGGTAGTTTCCCCAAAAAGGGGACCCCAATTTTGACCCCAAAACACTTTTGTCCTTATGGGGACCCCCATAAAGGTACCCCTCATTTTGGGAAACCCCCAAACTGTGTTCCACCTTTAAGTTTCGTGCAGCGGCCTTACACAGCATCCCGCCACCTGTTTTGGAATTCCATCTTGGCTTGCAGTGCCCCACCGTTGGTTTTTCGTATGGTCCCCAATGATAGGTGTCCATTCTAGCAGCTACTAAGAGCCCGGCATCACTTCTTAGACGGTTTTGGCTGCTCAGGTGATGTACTGGATTGTGTGGGATCTGGCCGATGCCATGAGACATTTGGACATTGCTGCCCCTATCCAATCCAGAACCACAGGCACTCTGTGCAGCAGCATGTTCTTTTTTGCTTTGGTAAGCTGGAGAAACGGATGGAGTTGTAAGAACGCACGGCAGATAAATGAACTATTCACGACAATTGCTTGAAGATCAGTGAGTTTTCTTGGGCCAGGTCTACAAGGCCAATATTGATAAAGAATGGTGCGTTCAGCTGTATCTGAACCCCTTAAGGGCTCAGGGTTTAGGGCCAGTTTAGGGTTCTCAGCTTGCCGCGAGTGCAAGTTGTGGAGGCTGCAGGCTCGAGACACATCAGAGAGTCCGCTCCTACTTCGAAAGGTGTTTGTGTGACACCCTCTCCTTCTGTTTAGCTGAGGAATGTATCAAGAGCTATCCAATGGCATGCTGGGCTTCAGCAACTGCCTGAAGTTTCTTGGCCATGGTCTTGGCAAATTGCGCATCCATCTTGAGGATGCTCTTAAGTAAGGAATTTAAAGCTCTGTGGGCTTAGGTGTAAAACAGAACATATAAGCACAGAGAGGGAGAGAGAGAGAGAGAGAGACAGAGTGGGACGTGTGCTGGGCTTGGGGCCTAGCCGCAGCGTGCTCGCAAGAGCATGCATAGCCTGTAGAAGAGGAGGGAGAGAGAGAGAGGGTCCATGTCCGCAACCAGTCACAGTGCACACCCTGATCCATGAACTGCTGGATGATGGATCCGCGAAGCGAATGCTGTAGGAGAGACGAGACCAGAGAAAGAAGAGCAAGATGGAATGAAGGAAGAAATTGGAAGAGGGAGAGAGAGAGAGACGGACTGTGAGACTCAGCTGCGCAGTCAGTAGCACAGGCTATTGGCTGGCAAGTGCTGGATTCGGATAGAGAGAGAGAGAGACCAGTTTTGGTGATGTGTATGCTCTGTTTGTTTCAAGCCCTGAAAGTACGTACTCCGGACCTCATGGTGCCGACCAGGGAGCAACGGACTTGCGTGGGCTACTGGGCTTGCCCGGAATCTCCTGAATGAGGGGGAGTAGAGCCCGCAGAAGGAGGAAGAAGAAGAAGAGAAAGAGCAAGAGAAAACGAACGCGCACACACACGCGGACACAACACAGTCGCGCAGTGGATGCCAGCGAAGCTGTTACCTGAGCCAAGGATTGCTGATGTACCTTTTCCTCTGCCCTATGCGCAGTTGCTGGGCCTCTTGCTGATTGGATTCTCTTGCTTCATCCCTGTGTGATTCAGTCATGTGTGGCAAAATTTTCCCTAGCTTTCAGAAACAAGAGATGATGGACGTGATTTTGCCACAGACTGTGCGTTGGCCCAGGTATGTGGTGATTTTTACGGGCTCACCGATTGCTGGCCCGATTCTTTGCTTCATCCTCTTTGTGACCCTCTGGTGCCTAAATGAAGTTGCAAAGGAGTTGGAGAATCCCTTCGGGCAGGATGCAAATGACATTCCTCTGCTGGACTTTCACCTTCGCTTTACGGACGTCCTGGCAGATGCGTGCAATGCCAATCATCATGCCATGCTCTGCCAACCCCTAATGGGAGTCCAGCTCAACACCACGGAGTTGTGCCGCACTTGGGTCTGACTATGAGCCTGAAATGGTTTGCACCTTACCAAGCCTGAGACTGTCCGACATGATGAGCGCAAATCGAGCCTGAGCACGTGAGTGCAATGGACGCCTGAGCTCACATAGCTTTCAGCATACTTATCCTCAGGGCAGGCATCATGAAATGAAATAAGTTCTAGCTCAAGATTCTTGAGCATTGTGCTATTGTCAAGTGCGGGTTGTTGTAGCCGTGTAGCCCATAGAATTTGGTTGTTACAGACTTGTCCCGTCCCTGATGAAATCTACCAAGCAGATGGCTGAATACCCAGGCAACCCATTCAAATAATGTTGCTTGTGCACGAGGCTTCACCCTAGCCCCTCTGGTCCTTAATTTTGGGCATTTAGGTCTCATCCCGTAGCCTCAATTGGGAAGAAGGTATGTGCCAGCGTTCTGGCCCACAACTACAATCCTCATGGAGGTGGACCCCATTTGTGGGCGCCATGCGCATGGCACATACCCAGTATAGCACCTAATCCATGGGAGTCGCAGTGTTTCCGACACTGCGCCGCTCAAGTCTCACCTGGAACAAGGTCGGTCACCTTGGCCAATGTGCAAGGGAAACAAAATCTGGAATCTGTTCTCGTTTGAGCCAGAATCTAAACTCCTGCAAGGGGTGTCATATCAGGGATTATATCGAATACTATAGCGGTTATTAAGGGGGATGCTAGGAGTTTAGACCATGGCTCATTTAAGAGAGATCAAATCTGGGTTTTTGGTCTTCATGTCTTGGAGCTCACTGCATTCTTTCGAGCCCGAACATTATGGCGGATCGAGATGCTTGCGTATCATGTTCTCGTTGAAAGGGGACCTGAACCCTAACTTTGCCGTAAACCCTATAAGCCCTAGATTTCACTAGGGAAGCTCACCTTAAACCCCAGATTTCATTGGGGAAGCTCATACCTTGCTTCCATGTGGAGGAACACAACGACAAGGGACTTGTGGCATGGGCCAGGTATTTTCAGTTTAGTTCCATGTGACAAGTGCTGGGCACTTCCAGCATTTGCTGTTATGCCTTCTTGCAGTCCTTGTTATTCTTTCAAGCTGAAGAAGGCCTCTCCATACCCAATAGATTATCCCCAAAATTCCCATGAGCAAGAGTCTACACTCTTTAAAGGGGGTTACATAGGGGAATCTACAGGGGAGTAAAATAGGGTTATTAAGGGGGATACCAGGAGTTTAGACTATAGCTCAAATCTGCTTCTCCCATACTCCTTTGTCAAACCCTGCTACCAGTAGAATCTGCCCCAGGACGTTGGAATTCAAAGGGCTCCTGATCAACCCTGTGCCACATAGGCTCTCACAGTCTTGCTGCTCTACTTTCGTCAGGCTTTCGAAAAGGAGTGGTGGTCGAGGCGGTGGTGGGGACATACTGTAGAAGCGTGACTTTCAGTGTTGGCAAATTGCTGTCTTGCAATCCTCATGTGGGTGGCTGTCGAAATTATGATCCCTTTTGGGTACCCTAGATATTAGGTGCCGTATTATAATAGGGATCCTTAAAGGGACAAGGGACCATAATTTTGGACAACCACCCATGTGCTTATCGTGGAACACCTCAAGCCCTTGGTCTCCTTATTTGGTAGCTCAGACCCCCCAATACGATCATCCTGGTTATAGGGACCCCAAAAAGCTACCCCTAGTTTTGGGAAACCCTCAGCCCTAATCCCTAAACCCTATATACCCCCCATAACACCACTATAAAGCCCTTTCAAAGGTTGAGGGGGTGTAGGGTTTAGGGCTTAGGGGGTTTAGTTTTTAGGGGGTTTTATGATTTAGGAGGTTTTACGGTTTAGGGGGTTTTATGGTTTTGGGGCTTTTGGGGCCTTGGGATTGAAGGCATAGGATGCGCAATCACATGGGCGGCGCTAAGGGCATCAGACGAGGAAAGCCTCAGTCGCGACATCACTCCATGAGCTGCTGGCTCAGTTCACTGGCTTGTTGTGAAGGAACTTATAAACTGGTTGACCCTATGATGAAGTCACTGTAATTACCATGCATCTTATGGTAGTTTGTTCTAAGTTCCTGAACATCAGCCGGGCTTAGGTCCAAACGGAAGCTGCTATTCGGTTTAGTTTAGGGGGTGCAGATCCAGTGGTGAAGGGCACTTAAGCCTTGGGGCTCCCTGGGTGGATGGGAGGTCTAGGGAAGGCCAGCAAACCTTTGGTGATGCTCTTTTGTGTAGGGTACCTTCAACTCCAAGTCTCCAAGCTCCTAAGCCTCTATCCCCCTAAAGCCCTAAATCCCGAAGCCCTAAATCCTATATCCAAAGTGTCCTTCTGTTGCCCTCACATCCTGCAGACAGCCAGCTGGCTAGCTGGCTGGATCAGAACCTGGGTCATGGGTGCATGCGGTGTACAATGTGTACATGACAGATATGATTAGAGAAAGCTCATCCACATGAGCTATAGTCTAAACTCCTTAAAGGGGGTTATACAGGGGATTACATAAGGGACTGTTATAGGGGTTATAAAGGATACTAGGAGTGTAGACGATGGTTCACATTGCATCAGGTTCAATGCAGCAGGTGGAGCTAGGCCCTTCCCTCATAAGGATTCTATCCGTGTAGGGCAAGTACAAGTTGTAATGGCCTCATCCCACCTCGCCCCCAAATTCTTTGGTTTTCATGGAAAACAACCCGCGAAAGGCCTTATCAATTTGGAGCTTTGAAAAAATTAGAACTATCCCTTACCCAGTTAGGCGTAATTTTTGCGAACTCGCCATACCTTGCGTGCCCAGGCCTGGCCTGGCCCGCTAGCGGCGAACACCGTGCCAAAGATTTCGCCTTGTTCTCTGCCGCCGGCATTCATATTGATGGTAAGCACAGATGGGCATGGAAGGGAGTAGAAGGGCGGGGACATGAGACCTGGATCTGGGAAGATTACTCAATGCTGGAGAATCCAATGGAAAAGAAGATGAACAACGAAGTGGAAGGTGGGTTTATGTAGAGATTTTACAGGGATAGCTGCCAATATTTTGGGGTTTGAAGGTAAGGGGTTGAGGCGTTTCTTGAGCTTGAATTCTGTCTGGGGGCCCCTTGGAGTTTATTTCGACTGGAACGGCGTTCTTTGGGGGGCGGGGTGCTTGTAGTGGTTTACTACTACTCTCCTCATTGTTTTATGGCAACTGTGTGTTAGGCAGCCTCTGTCTGTTGCCCTTCTAGAAACCGACCCGCCTGTTTCCGGCTGGTCCTCCGCTTTAAAAGGACCCCCAGCACGGCTGCCGAACGCATGCGCCTCTTTAGGTCTGTTCTTGGATTAGAAGGGTCTACAGGGTTGAGGGGTGTGGCTACACTGCAAATCTTGGTGCCGACGTCCATGTACGAAGTCGGCTACCAGACGTAGTGAGGCGCGGGCGGCCGTGGCGTCGTTTCATTGGGAGGGGGGCAAAGCCGGCTGGACTTACTGTTCAAAGTGCCCAGTATACAAAATCGCAACAGCAGTTCTACTCCTAGTAACAGTCTTGATGCCGAAGTCCAGCCAAAGCGGCTCACCCTCTCAATTGTAGCTCGACTGCTTTTCGTGTCTGCATTTCAGGGAAGAGGATACTGTCTGCAGAGGGCTTCTGTTGCGCAAGTCACCTAGAGGCACAGGCTTTGGTCCTGTATACAGAACTTTCCCAAATGATCCTAGTTTGCGTTTCGCTCCCCGTTTGATTCTCCATTGTTGGGGTCATAATATCCCTTGTTCTACTGACTTCCTCTCTTTCGGCGACTTGCCCATGCGACCGGCCTTGGCGTGACAGCAGCAACTCAACGGGTGCCCTCTTCCTTCTCTGAGGACTTCAGCGCTGCAGGGGGCCCTGATGGCTGTGGCAAAAGAAATGCTTACTTCCCCAAGATGTTGGAGCTTTACAGTTTCTGTTTCCCTCTAGTTTCTGTGCTTCAGGAATATCATTGGAGCTTTTAGGGGTGCGCCTTTGGGGGGCTCTTGTTGTAGGAATCCCCGTTTGTTGGACATTCTCATGCCGTCCCAAGGTTTTCATGTCCCTGGCACAATCCCAGCATGATTTCACTCTTATCTCGAGTCCTCCATGTGTGTACTTTCTCACAAACTTTGTTCCAATGCTGTCACCCTATGGTCTCCTTTCAACCAAAATGTAATTGCCATGTTTTGTTCTTATGCCTACATCTCAATATTCGCACGTACCCTTTGTAAGAATTCCTGGGTGTCTTCATATCCGCCTGTTCCTGGTCCCCTGTTCCCGCAGATAGCGAGGTCCTCAGAGTACACGTCGCGCAGGGGTTGCGGGCCCCGAAGGCAATGGATGCGCAGACAATAGCTCTGGTTATGGTGGTGGTGAGAATGTTGGTGGTGGTGCTGGTGGTGGTGTTTGGTCGCAGTAGTAGTGCTTGTGGTAGTAGTAGTAGTAGTAGTAGTAGTAGTAGTAGTATTAGTAGTAGTAGTAGTAGTAGTAGTATTAGTAGGAGGAGCAGTAGGAGCAGTAGGAGTAGTTGGAGCAGTAGGAGTAAAACCGGTAAGTATCGGCGGAGGTTATGAGGGTGGTGGTTGTAGCCAAACTCATTTTGGGCATGTTTCACTGTGAGAAGCCCCTTTTAGAACGAGTGTTGTTGTATGAGCGCTGGTTATGCTGGGTGGTTTATTGCCGTATACTGTGGGGTCCCCAGAGTCTGTAAACATGGTAGGGGCAGCGCCAGCCCTGCTTGCGACACTTGCGCCGGTGATGGGCAGCAACTCATCAGCCGCCGGCGCGGACAGCGCCCGAAAACCAAGGCAACTTGCCGGGAAGGAGCCAAAGCCCCAGAATCAGATGAGAGCAGTCCCAAATTTCAGAGGGGCTTGGGGGGGTTAGGTGGCCCAGGACCTGTATACCCTGTTCTAGGCCTGTTTTTCTTGATGTGGGCGGAGCACGGGACACCAAAACCTCCTCAGGCCTGCATGTCACACAGGGCCAGTCAGGCCCCCCAATCCCAATGTGACTTAGGCAGCGGGAGTCTTTGGGATTCCAAGCATAGACGGTTTTG